TAGTGAAGCAGTAGTGCTGGTATAGTGAAGCAGTAGTGCTGGTAGAGTGAAACCAATATAGAGCGGTAGTGAATATTTAGAGAGACAAGGTGAATGCCACACACTGACTGTCTTAACGTAACTTTGAAGTGAGTAAGAATGTTGTGACGGCAGTAGTGATCGTACACTCAACACTCACCCGCTATTTCCGACCACCGCTTTGTTTGGTCGGTAAAACTAGTGAATCCACAAGCTAAGAGGTTGCCACGTCCTGGTGAGTCAACCCTCTCAACATTACTCAAGATATTAGATAAATGGTTCAGATAACTGATAAGTTGATTAATTAGATATATGTGCAACACTTGGGTATAATGATTGTGGAAATGTTTCGCCCCACAGTGGCTTCATCAGTCCAGTACAAAGAAGAATAGTGAAGACTGAAGTAATCAGTCCCTCAGCCTGGCTGAGGGACTGATTACTTCAGTACAATAATATTAATAATAAATACTGTATTTTTATATTTTTATATCGATAAAAACTGGAATGTATTGAGATATGCGGATTAAAAACCATTTTGCACAAATTTATATCCAGAGAGAGAGAGAGAGAGAGAGAGAGAGAGAGAGAGAGAGAGAGACTAGGGACACTGGACCTCTCTAAGCATGGTATTGAATTACCTCGCCTGAGTTAAATGTGTTTACGAAGAAGCACATAAAAATCCCCCCCCATGAGTGCATAGTGTGACCAGGGGGAACGCTGCCCCCCCCTCTCTCTAACACCATAATCCCTTCCATCCCCAGTTTCAAAATCTCCCCTCCACCCCCAGGTTTAAAGCTCCCTTCCATCCCCAAGTTCAAAGTTTCCCTCCATCCCCAAGTTCATAGTTTCCCTCCATCCCAAGGTTCAAAGTCCCCCCTCCATCCCAAGGTTCAAAGTCCCCCTCCATCCCAAGGTTTAAAGTCCCCCTCCATCCCAAGGTTCAAAGTCCCCCTCCATCCCAAGGTTTAAAGTCCCCCTCCATCCCAAGGTTCAAAGTCCCCCCTCCATCCCAAGGTTTAAAGTCCCCCTCCATCCCAATGTTTAAAGTCCCCCCTCCATCCCCAGGTTTAAAGTCCCCCCTCCGTCCCAAGGTTTAAAGTCCCCCTCCATCCCAAGGTTTAAAGTCCCCCGTCCATCCCAATGTTTAAAGTCCCCCCTCCATCCCCAGGTTTAAAGTCCCCCCTCCGTCCCAAGGTTTAAAGTCCCCTCCATCCCAAGGTTTAAAGTCCCCTGTCCATCCCAAGGTTTATAGTCCCCCGTCCATCCCAAGGTTTAATAAAGTCCCCCCTCCATCCCAAGGTTTAAAGTACCCCGTCCATCCCAAGGTTTAAAGTCCCCCCTCCATCCCAAGGTTCAAAGAGACCTCTCCATCCAAGGTTCAAAGTCCCCCCTCCATCCCAAGGTTCAAAGTCCCCCTCCATCCCAAGGTTCAAAGTCCCCCTCCATCCCAACGTTCAAAGTCCCCCCTCCATCCCAAGGTTCAAAGTCCCCCTCCATCCCAAGGTTTAAAGTCCCCCCTCCATCCCAAGGTTCAAAGTCCCCCCTCCATCCCAAGGTTCAAAGTCCCCCTCCATCCCAAGGTTCAAAGTCCCCCTCCATCCCAAGGTTTAAAGTCTCCCCTCCATCCCAAGGTTTAAAGTCCCCTCTCCATCCCAAGGTTCAAAGTCCCCCTCCATCCCAAGGTTTAAAGTCCCCCCTCCATCCCAAGGTTCAAAGTCCCCCTCCATCCCAAGGTTTAAAGTCCCCCTCCATCCCAAGGTTCAAAGTCCCCCCTCCATCCCAAGGTTTAAAGTCCCCCCTCCATCCCCAGGTTTAAAGTCCCCCCTCCGTCCCAAGGTTTAAAGTCCCCCTCCATCCCAAGGTTTAAAGTCCCCTGTCCATCCCAAGGTTTATAGTCCCCCGTCCATCCCAAGGTTTAATAAAGTCCCCCCTCCATCCCAAGGTTTAAAGTACCCCGTCCATCCCAAGGTTTAAAGTCCCCCCTCCATCCCAAGGTTCAAAGAGACCTCTCCGTCCCAAGGTTCAAAGTCCCCCTCCATCCCAAGGTTCAAAGTCCCCCCTCCATCCCAAGGTTCAAAGTCCCCCCTCCATCCCAAGGTTCAAAGTCCCCTCTCCATCCCAAGGTTTAAAGTCCCCCTCCATCCCAACGTTCAAAGTCCCCCTCCATCCCAAGGTTCAAAGTCCCCCTCCATCCCAAGGTTTAAAGTCCCCCCTCCATCCCAAGGTTCAAAGTCCCCCCTCCATCCCAAGGTTCAAAGTCCCCCTCCATCCCAAGGTTCAAAGTCCCCCTCCATCCCAAGGTTTAAAGTCTCCCCTCCATCCCAAGGTTTAAAGTCCCCCCTCCATCCCAAGGTTCAAAGTCCCCCCTCCATCCCAAGGTTCAAAGTCCCCTCTCCATCCCAAGGTTCAAAGTCCCCCTCCATCCCAAGGTTTAAAGTCCCCCCTCCATCCCAAGGTTCAAAGTCCCCCTCCATCCCAAGGTTCAAAGTCCCCCCTCCATCCCAAGGTTCAAAGTCCCCCTCCATCCCAAGGTTCAAAGTCCCCCTCCATCCCAAGGTTTAAAGTCTCCCCTCCATCCCAAGGTTCAAAGTCTCCCCTCCATCTCAAGGTTCAAAGTCTCCCCTCCATCCCAAGGTTCAAAGTCCCCCTCCATCCCAAGGTTTAAAGTCTCCCCTCCATCCCAAGGTTCAAAGTCCCCCTCCATCCCAAGGTTCAAAGTCCCCCTCCATCCCAAGGTTTAAAGTCCCCCCTCCATCCCAAGGTTCAAAGTCCCCCCTCCATCCCAAGGTTCAAAGTCCCCTCTCCATCCCAAGGTTCAAAGTCCCCCTCCATCCCAAGGTTTAAAGTCCCCCCTCCATCCCAAGGTTCAAAGTCCCCCTCCATCCCAAGGTTCAAAGTCCCCCCTCCATCCCAAGGTTCAAAGTCCCCCCTCCATCCCAAGGTTCAAAGTCCCCCTCCATCCCAAGGTTCAAAGTCCCCCTCCATCCCAAGGTTCAAAGTCTCCCCTCCATCTCAAGGTTCAAAGTTCCCCTCCATCCCAAGGTTCAAAGTCCCCCTCCATCCCAAGGTTTAAAGTCTCCCCTCCATCCCAAGGTTCAAAGTCCCCCTCCATCCCAAGGTTCAAAGTCCCCTCCATCCCAAGGTTTAAAGTCTCCCCTCCATCCCAAGGTTCAAAGTCCCCCTCCATCCCAAGGTTTAAAGTCTCCCCTCCATCCCAAGGTTCAAAGTCCCCCTCCATCCCAAGGTTTAAAGTCTCCCCTCCATCCCAAGGTTCAAAGTCCCCCTCCATCCAAGGTTTAAAGTCTCCCCTCCATCCCAAGGTTCAAAGTCCCCCTCCATCCCAAGGTTCAAAGTCCCCCTCCATCCCAAGGTTCGAAGTCCCCCTCCATCCCAAGGTTCAAAGTCCCCTCTCCATCCCAAGGTTCATAATAATTCTCTCATAATCCTGTACACACTACAAAAATCTCTCTCTCACAAATAATACCCCACCATAAGCAACATTTTCCCCCTAGATTCCCTGGGCATCGCTGTACCTATAACAATTTTCTCCGGCCGCCGCCGCCTTCACCAAGTACATTATCTTGGCGAAGAAAAATAATGAAACATCGGCCCTTACTTATGCTACCTCAGGTGATATTGATTCCCCCAACGCTCGTGTATAATTCCCCCACGCCCGTATATAATTCCCCCACGCCTATGTATAATTTCCCCGGGATCCTGTATATGTTCTCACGATACAAAATGTGTCCACAAGTTGATGTATAATAATACTGGGACTGATTTTGAGTCGACATCAATTTTTTGCTCGAAAGTCCCGTTGACACTGAATCGTTATGTAGATTAGGACAAAGTAAGGAGCTGCTTGCTGTATACACACAGTGGGCGTCTACATAGTTCTGTAGCATAATCACGAGGACTCACAAAGTCGTAACTGTAATAACACTTGCTATATTCCTAGCAGGATATAGAGTAATATGGAAAAACAGTCGATTAGTACTGCAAATTCTCTGCCTCCGTTGCTTCCTGGGTAGATGGATAAGAAACAGGTGCAAAAATTTAGGTCTGTGGTCGGGACGTTTCGCCTGCAGAATGGGCTTCTTTAGTCGAATACAGAGGTCAGTATGATGTGATCCGTCCATCAATCTTGAAATAGTATGTTTTTTTATATACACAGAGGGACTGATCGCCTTAAAAAAATTGTTGTTCAATCTATCAGTCAGCAGGTTGATGAACTGAACACATCTTGTACTTTTCCACTTCTTCTGCTGCCCCCATATCTAGTCACTTCTCTATATGACTGAAAACGTTTTCTATGTAGGCGAAACGTTTCGACCATGAAGATACCCAACTGTTGCACATGCGTCTTTCTCATCTACTTGCAGGTAGTCTATACCATTTTCATAATTACATCCGCTGTTTCCTCTCTTATGATCCGATATCCTGCTGGGAATATGGCACCAGGGTCAAATAACTACTTAATAAGCATAAGTAAGACTAGGGGATTCCAGGTAGATGCACAGGTCTAGGGAAATGCTGGTAATCAGATTTGATGCAAGAAAAGAGAGAGTAGCTCCGATTCCTTGGATAAAGAGTCCTTCACCAACATGATGGCTCACCATTCTGTATGTTGTTTTCACTGTGGGAACTCATTAGGTATATTTATGCTAGAGAGAGGGACATGCACTTGTATGGAATCCTTTATTGACAACGTGCGAGGCACACACAGCCGGCTTTACCTCAGAAACACGTGATAAAGCACACTGAAGTAAAGACTATCAACAAAGTACATCAATAATGCATACTGTGTGGGCCAGAAGATGTCCATAAGGTCCATCGCACGGTGTATAAACGTCATCAACGTAGCACACTGCATGGACCAATCGTCGTCAGTAAAGGACTTAGTACAAGCGTTTTTTACTCTCTGCTGTATTGCGGGTATCTGACACCATTACCTATGTAAGTATATTTGTGTGTGGTTGCAGGAGCTGTGTCGTGCGAGGATGGCAGGGAAGGCAGGTGAAGGAGGCAAGACAGAGGCCACATCAACAACAGCAGCAGCAGCAGCAGCAACAACACACGCACCCAGCCATAGGGTGTCCAGCCTCTCTAAGGATTCTGACAATGGCAACAACTCACCTTCATCCAGGTCATCCACCAGCTCATGGTCAGTATTATACAACTTATACATTATAGTATCCCTGGGAAAGAGCTATACCAGTAGAGGTTATACATCACCTGGGGAATAAGTACGACAGTTTGGTATCCATTCCGAAACGTTGCGCCTACACAGTAGGCTTCTTCAGTCGAGTACAGAGGAGTGAGCAGTAGTAGTAGAGATGTAACGACGATGTAATCAGTCCATCACCCTTGAAGATGCAGTTTTGAGACAGTCAGTCCCTCAGCTGAGGGACCGACAGTCTTCAAGGGTGATAGACTAATTACATCGTCTTTACATCTCTCCTGCTTCTGCTGCCTCCTCTGTACTCGACTGAAGAAGCCTACTGTGTAGGCGACACGTTTCGGAATAAAATTACCTAACTGTTGGACATGCGTCTTACTTATCAATTATCAACTTATCGGTATTGTATACCATTATCATATTCACTTGGGTAATAAGGGGTAGGGTAGGTATTTTGAGGCCAGAGAAGAGTAGGACCCATTGTTTGAATGCAAGAATCTTCCTCCAGCACGAAGGCAGAACCCTCCATCCCCTTTCTTCCTCTTACCTGAAGGATGTTTACAGGGGTCAGCGCCCCCGCGTCTCAGTACCAGACCAAGCTGTTTGTAACTGTTAAAAGTGCTGTTGGCAACAGTCACTCAACAAACCCATCCTGTGTTTGTTTTTGTATTTTAAGAAGAGTGGGTTTGTTACTGTATTCACTGGGGAAATGATAAAGCAGTTGGAGATAATACAATGCCTGGGTCATGAGAGGCTGTCAAGTTCGATCCAAGGTGAGACCAGCCCCAGTTCCTTGGATCAGGAGCCCTTTAGCAACGTCGAGGCATGTTCCTCGGAGGGTGTACTGGTGGAGATGCAGTGTTTACATAAGACCTCAACGTGTAATTGAAGTCTCTCTTTCTCTCTCTCTCTCTCTCTCTCTCTCTCTCTCTCTCTCTCTCTCTCTCTCCCATATCTCTCCCCAGTTCTCTCGCATATATCTTTCTCCCCTCACTGTTTCGCCCCTTTCCATACGCTGTCACGTACCTCTGCATGTACTCTCCACTAGCGGTACTGCTGATCTCAAATGAGAGAGAGCGCGCGCGCTCTGGAGTCTGGCTTAAGCCATCACGATGCAGGTGTAAAGATGTGACTCAGGTGTGGCTGGTACACACCTTCCGCTTTAACCACTACCACCACCACCACTACCACCACTACCACCACCGCCTCACACTGTCAGAGATAATCTACATTAACGCCGGGTAAATAATGGACTTGGTTGACATTTTAGGCTTGGCTATGACAGTGCCAACCACCAGAGTGCCAGCCAGCCACTCCTTCAAGGGCTGGGCTGAAGGGCTCTTGATCTAAGAAATTGCAGCTGTTTTTTACTCACCTGCTGTATGACCCCTACGGTTTCAGTGCTGTCGCATAAGCCCTAAGAACTGGAGGTAATCAGGGTACAGTAGCTCAGTTTTTTCGGATCAAGAGCCGTCGCCAGCATCAAGGCACTACTCGTGATTTTCAGACGGGATCAGATTACAGAGCCCATTCTCGCACCATCACCAGTCAGCTGGTGATGGTGGTAGGGATGGTGATGGGTGGTGGTGGTGATGGTGATTGGTGATGAGTAATTTGATTGGTGATTGGTGATAGGTAGTGATGGTGATAGTGATTGGTGATGGGTAGTGGTGGTGATAGTGATTGGTGATGGGTAGTGGTGGTGATTCGTGGCTTTGATCAATGACGGTGATTTTTGATGGGTGGTGATTGTTGATGGGTTGTGGTGATTGACGATGGGTGGTGGTGATGGTTATACCTGGAGGGTGTTTCGGGGGTCAACGCCCCCGCGACCCAATCCATGACCAGGCCTTGTGGTGGTAATTGGCGATGGGTGGTGGTGATGGATGGTGGTGGTGGTGGTGATGGATGGTGGTGGTGGTGGTGATGGATGGTGGTGGTGGTGGTGGTGGTGTTATGCTGGGGGTTGAGCAGACGCCCGGATGAACACAGTTGTACACACACTGAGCCTCAACACACACATACACACACACACACACACACATACACACACGTACCTGTCTCACTGTCGTATACTGCTACTCAGGAAATGTTAGGAGAGTTACTTATGAAAAAAATCCAGATATGGGATTTAAGTGAACATAAGTGGTCAGTGGGCAAATGGTTCGCTAAGAGGAGTTGTTTTTCACTCTGAATCCGAAGGTGTTCGCCTGTGTCCGAAGGTATCCACCTGTGTCCGAAGGTGTCCACCTGTGTCTGGTTCATTTAGGAGAGCATAAAATGCATTTCGTGTTGACAGTAATGATCTTCAACATATTTAGTGACTGAAAAAATAGCGGGTTTTTTCCTTCCCTCGCCAAATGGATTCATTTGTGAAGATTTTGAGTGTTCAGCATTACCATCAATGGAGGTGGACCAACACTGGCAGTAGTGCCTTTGAAAACGAGTGTTGAACAACATGTGCGCTGGAGGATGGTAGTGTGGTAGTGCTGGTAGCATCACCAGGTGCTCAAGACGAGCTTTTTATCCCAAGATTGGATACAATCCCAGGACTGGATACAATCCTGGGTTGCTAACCCGAGATAACCTAGTGTGGTGGCTGGTTCCAACTGAGATTCTTACCTAATACCTAGGAGAACAAGGACCATCTAACATCTAGGAGGACAAGGACCATCTAACACCTAGGAGAACAAGGATCATCTAACACCTAGGAGAACAAGATCCAACTAACACCTAGGAGAACAAGACCCAACTAACACTTTTGAGAACAAGAACATTAGATACCAGGACACTAACGTCTCAACTCGCCCAGGATCGAAGCAGAGTCCTCTCGGTTGTGAGTCTAATTCTCTCATCTGTAAGTCAGCACTGTGTAAACACTTGTGGAACAGTGTTGGTATCACCAGCTAGAAGTGTGAGTCATGTTGCCAAAGTACTTCCGTTACTGTTGACACCAATATACTGATGTGCGATCACGCAGTCTGACGTGGGCAGGGATGCGTTAGTGCCTATGTTGGCGGGTCCGAGTGTCCCAGGATGTGTGCGCGTGTGTGTGTACTCACCTAATTGTGGTTGCAGGGGTCGAGACTCAGCTCCTGGCCCCGCCGTGTGTGTGTGTGTGTGTGTGTGTGTGTGTGTGTGTGTGTGTGTGTGTGTGTGTGTGTGTGTGTGTGTGTGTGTGTGTGTGTGTGTGTATGTATGTATGAGTGTAGTGTTTGTGAGTGTATGAGTGTAATGGAGTGTGGGTAAATGTTTGTACAGTACAGATTATGAATAAGATATGTAGAAAACTTGCTTATCATCATTGCTGAAACGTTTCGCCCACACACCAGGCTTCAGCAGTCGTGGCTTCTGCAAACAGTGGAAGAAGTGAAGAGATTAGTTTGATCTATCTGAACTGAGGAACTGAACACCTAAAACTGACCTCTCCACGTCTTCTGTTATTTTTACTTTAAATGTCGCCTCTGTATTCAACTGAAGAAGCCTACTGTGGAGGCGAAACGTTTCGGCGATACGTATAAGCAAGTGTTGCACATAACTTGTCGGTATTGCATATCATTATGTAACTGTATGTAGGCGAGCCAGAATATGTGGGTGAACGTATGCGGGAGTGGTACAATGTATTTATTGCTAGATGTGTGTGTGTGTGTGTGTGTGTGTGTGTGTGTGTGTGTGTGTGTGTGTGTGTGTGTGTGTGTACTCAGTTTTACTCACCTAGTTGCGGTTGCAGGGGTCGAGTCCGAGCTCCTGGCCCCGCCTCTTCACTGGTCGCTACTAGGTCACTCTCCCTGTATCATGTGGGAGTTCGACGTGGATTGGGTAAAGTAATACTCACGTAGGCTGGTAGTACGTATAATTACAGATAATGTGGAGAACGCCCTTACAGCCGTGACCTATCTGCTCACTCTCGTACAACTGACTGACTGGCCGCCCACAGTACCCATATGTGAGAGGGTCTTTGAATACTGCCAGGTCAGCGCAATATGAATATACAGTGACTCAGGCAGAGACGGTTGGTCGTGAGTCAACTGGCACAGTGGTTACTGGTAACTGGTTACTACTACTGAGACCTGAGCCGTGAGCTTTATCATACCTCTGCTTAAAGCTATGTATGGATCCTGCCTCCACTACATCGCTTCCCAAACTATTCCACTTACTGACTACTCTGTGGCTGAAGAAATACTTCCTAACATTCCTGTGACTCATCTGTGTCTTCAACTTCCAACTGTGTCCCCTTGTTACTGTGTCCAATCTCTGGAACATCCTGTCTTTGTCCACCTTGTCAATTCCTCTCAGTATTTTGTATGTCGTTATCATGTCCCCCCTATCTCTCCTGTCCTCCATTGCCGTCAGGTTGATTTCCCTTAACCTCTCCTCGTAGGACATACCTCTTAGCTCTGGGACTAGTCTTGCTGCAAACCTTTGCACTTTCTCTAGTTTCTTTACATGCTTGGCTAGGTGTGGGTTCCAAACTGGTGCCGCATACTCCAATATGGACTAACGTACACGGTGTACAGGGTCCTGAATGATTCCTTATTAAGGTGTCGGAATGCTGTTCTGAGGTTTGCTAGGCGCCCATATGCTGCAGCAGTTATTTGGTTGTGTGTGTGTGTGTGTGTGTGTGTGTGTGTGTGTGTGTGTGTGTGTGTCATGGTTCATGTGTGTCTTCAGCGTCCAGCTGTGTCTCCTTGATCCTGGTCCTCTTAATTCAAAGTTTTTTTTTTTCCTGTCTGCTCTATCAATTCTTTTAAAATTGTATCTGTAATAATCATGTCCTTCCTTGTCCTTGTCTCCGCCCACGTCAAGTGTAGACCTTTGAACCTTGTCGAGCTTCTGCTCGTGCTTGATCAGGTGTGGGCTCAATGCTGGGGCTGCATACTCAGTGACTGGCCTAACATTTGTCGCATATAAAGCTCTGAATAATGTTCTGATGTCTGCTAATTTAGCATATGCCACTGACGTTATACAGTTTGTGTGTATTTCTG